ACCTTAACAAAAACTGAGAGAAAATACAATTTAAAAAGTAATCGAAAAACATTCACCAGCAAAAACACACAGTTTAGCTTGTGAATGCAAAATCTCTTCCCCTTTCAAAATTTAATCAAACACCCAGTCAGCAAAAACCTCTCCTTTCAAGCTCTACTTGCATCATTTCCTATGTCTGTTCATGTACAAACTAGAAAATGGCACATATAAGACTAAAAGCAACAAACTAAGACAAACAAAATGAGAACAACCTATAGGATTTTCACACTCCCAAGTGATGTCCCGGAGCTGTGTGCTGTAAACACCTGAGACGGGTCACACTACCCCTCACTTACACTTTCCCAGGCTTCCCCTTTCTCGTCGTCCGCTTCCTCACCACAGCCTTCACTAGCTTAAGTTACCATCCAATCTAAAAAGTAAGCCTATACCTTTTTTACCCAGCCCCCAACCCCCTTCCCTTCTCCTCTGATAGTGCTCAGTCTGTTCTCTGTGTCTATGAGTCTGTTAAGCAAAGAAAAAACGAACTCAGAGCCACAGACAACAGCACGGGGATTACGGGAGGGAAAGGGGAGAGGGGGTTGCTGGAAGAGGTTAAAGGCCGGGTACAACTGGGGATGGAAGGAGATGGCACTTGAGGTGGAGAACACAGAACACAATATGCAGATGTTAGACTTGCATACCTGAAACCCGTGTACGTTTATTCACCAAAGTCACCACAATGAATTCAATAAAATAAAAATTAAAAATTAAAAGCCTAGCTCTCAAACCAGACTGCATCTTTTCTATGGTGAATAAATAGCCTGGCCTCCCAGAACTGCTCCTTCAGTGCCCCTGCGGGTGCAGGAAGCTGCTCAGAGGCTGGAGATCGGATCTGCAAACGCTCATATCCCCAAGGTTTGCAAACGATACTATGATGCTCTTGGCTACCAGTCCTGCCAATCCCTGCTCCTTCTCTAACTTTATCACAGCTGTGTTTCTCTCTTCCTGCAATAGCAACTCCGTGAACCTCCACGTTCATTTCCACAGTTAAAGTGAGTCCGTGGCCGAGCTCAGGAATATCCCTGCATCTCCAATACTAAGATAGAGTCTCCTTCCTGAAGATGAGCAAACAGAAATATGTGCCCAAAATAATGAGAAAAAAAAATGTTTGCCCAAAAATTCAACAGCACAATGTCAGAAGCAGAGACTGAAGCTCTCTCTGAAACAGATTCCTGGTAGAAAGAAAAAAAATATTTTAAGTTCTTGCTTTGTGTTCACAGTAAAATATGAAAGATTATCTCTCTATAACTACAAGGGCATAAGAAGAAAACAGATCAAGATTTGAAAATACTATATAGAAACTAAAACAAGGTAATGGAATCTAAATATTTGCTGGCAGGCAGTAAAGGGGAAAAAAAACTCGACACCACAAAAAAAAACTTAAGTAAAAGATAAAGAAAGTGTGTTTCCAGAATTCAGACCGTGTACTCACCCTCTGCCCCCCAAAAAAGAGAAAGGACAAAAGAGTCCACCCTGGAATATCAGTTGTTCTAAAAGGGGTAAATTTTTAAAAAAAGGAAAAGACACAAAAGAATAAAATTTATAAGAAAGTTGGAAGTTTTCTTCATACATGCAAACATGTGTGAGAAGGAAAAGAGGACTTAGATCCATAGATTTTTCTATAGGTATGAATCAACCCTCTGTGATCTTCAGGAAGAATTCTCTCTAGTGACCCAAAAAGAAAAACAGAAGGACATTTTGAGTGTAAGAATGTTATAAGAGTTCAATTAAAACGGGCTATGATTAAACAAAATATCACCCATAGTATCTACCTGAATGAGGTGCTTTAACAATGTTTATTGATTTTAGAGAGAAACAGAAACATTGATGTGAGAGAGAGAATCATTGATCAGTTGCCTCCCCTAAGCTCCCAGACCAGGGATCAAATCTGCAGCCTTTTGATGTGTGAGACAGTGCCACCAACTGTGCCACCCCAGCAAGGGCAGAGGGGCTCTTTCTTAAAAAGTGAGTGGGTGGGAAGTTGGGGAATAATTTCTATCAAATTTTTTTACTTCATCATCATTGCTCTATTTATGTGATCTAATTCTCCTTGAGATAAATCTTGTAATTTATATTTTTAAAGCCTACCTTAGGCTTTAAGAATCTCATTTTTCCAGCACATTAGCATGCAATTGCTATGCTTAGTATTTTTGTCATTTCAATGTTATGTATCTTAAGTACATTAAGATAATGTACTTACCAGAATTATCTTAATTTGTTTTTCAAAAGAATCAGTTGTAACAACTAAATAGAATTGGTAGAGTACTTGAAAGTATCAAAATTATGAGATCCAATATATCACAGTAAGTCAAATTTAAAAAAACATACACATCATCTAAATAAATGTCACAAGAACCTCTGATAAAATTCCAGACAAATATAAATTAAATTCTGGAAGAAAAAAATACAAAAATATCATTAGTGCTTACCCAGAATGACAGGGTTAAAAGTGGTTTTCACTTCTTCTTGTTTTTTAATAAGATATGAAATGTATTATAAATTTTAAAATATTAAGGGTTTAAAAACCATATTGTAGTAAATTAGGAGAAACTAGAAGCAAATGTTTATCAAGTCTCGGAAGACAGAAGGGCAGAGAGGAGGGTCTGCATCGAGAAACAGGAACGAGCTGCTCTGCACCTTCGTGTCTGCTGTGGGCACGTGTTGCGGGTTGGGGGGAATCTGGGTGAAGACTTGTCTTCACTGTAACACACCCCCGCTGACCTCCTAACCATTGGTTAGCCTGGCTTAGGTCAACCTTCGAGATTACTGCCGTAAAATGTTAAGTGGAAAAAAACGAGGTTACAACTTACATATATAAATAGAGTCAATGATGGATATATGAAATGCACATAATTAATATAAGATACCACCAATTATAAGATGCATTTTATATTCCTCTAAAAGAAAAACTGGTTATGATGTTAGAATTTTACTTTATTTATACAGATTTCATCATGCATCATGCTGCTGTTTTTATGTCTTTCTGTATACACTGTAACTTTGTCTTTTGATACCAAACCATGGTGAAATAATTTTGAAAGCAATTAATTCATGTTGTATCAGCAAAGTTTGTAAGTACTCTGAACTGATGACTGTGACCAAGGTCACACATGTGTAGGCAATGACAGCTACATCCTGACTTGTGTCAGGATGCACAGTGTAAGAGTATTTCAGTTTCAGAGATGTTTTGTTTTGTTTTTTAATTCATATTTGTTTATTGTTGTTCAGGTACAGTTATCAGAGACATTAAAATAAGAAACAAACTGGGCTTTAGAACGGATGAAATATATTAATGTTTTAACAGCACGTTGTCCATAGGGGGTGAGCTTCCGGGTGATTCTCCCCGAGCCTGGTCACAGTCCAGCAGGTCTCACTAAGTTCGGTAGCCCTAGCACACTGACCACAGGTGTGCTGGCCAACCACAAGGCTTTATCTCACGATTAGGTTTGTGGGTTTGTTTACTTTGATCATTTCAACACTATGGATTCATCACAATTTGTTCTGTTTAGGTTCTATCTAAACTATGTACTTAGCAGAGTCAACTGAATGTGTCTTTCCAAAAGAACCAGTTATAAAAACTAAGTAGCATTGGTAGAGTACTTGAAAGCATTAAAATTAAGAGATGAAATATATTACAGTCACTCAAACAAAAAACACATTATCTAAATAAATGCCAAAAGAACCTTTAAAAAAAAAGAACCTTTGACAAAATTCCACAGAAATGCGGATAAAATTCCACACAAATATAGATAAAATTTTGTTTATTTGGGTTGAGGTAGGGAAACAAGGGAGAATGAATAGAGCTGAAGACGAATAAAATACAAAAAAGTAAATAAATAAAACTTTGGGGTACTTTACAATTTAGCCTTGGATCAGCCTTTTTTAAACCTTCAGTTACTGCTGGACCAAGCTTAACTCTCTATAGACACATTTTATGACCCGCAAAGCACAACTAAAGAGAGTTCTATAGACCATTGGGTAACCCAGGAGGCATTTTTTTATTCTGATATCCATTTATTGGCCACTTTTTTGTTTCTCCAGAGAACACAGTGGGATACATGTAAGGGAGAAGAGGGTGTGAGGACCACTTGAGCAGGGAAGTGCAGTAAGAGGACAGGAATTAATACATTTTAATTGACTGAGAATCCTGATTAAACTTGTTCCAATTTCTTGTATTGTTGTATTAAGGATGAATCTGAATTGAGGTCATATCCTTTATTCCAGACCCCATACTCTTGCTGTAGTACATGAGTGGATAGCTCGAAGGCCACCTGCAGCAGGCTTCCTCCACACACCACACTCCCACTCCCCACCCACACACCCACACTGCCTCTCCCCATCAAAACAGGTTCCAAGAAAAGAGGTTTTGTCCAAAATAAGATGGGAAGAGGAAGCTATCTGCCATTTTATGAGAGGAGATGATCAGTCTACTCCCATTACCTGCAGATCCAACCTTAAGAGCTGAATCTGCCCTCAAACCAGAAGGCACATCCATTGGGCATCTCAGTGGGCATCTGTCACCCAATCCCCACTTAGTCTATATCTGTGCCCCAGCACTTTTCCCTTTGAACTTCTATTTCATGCTTTTAACCATCACAATTATCACTGAAACTTCCCCTCAACAGACACACACAGAACACATTCTTGGCTATTCTCAGGATGCTATCATAAAATAATATACTTAAAAGCATATATATGAATAAGCTCTGAGTCCCAGAACTTACACAGTTAATCAAAAAGTTACTCAGGGAAATATAATTCAAGCCCAGACTTTGGAACCAGGAGCCAACCCATTTGAAAAGGCTTCGTGCAGATACTTAAACTGGACAGTAGCACTGTGTGCTGTTTCACAAAAGCCTCAGTTCAATAACGAGTGAAGCCTTTCTCCCCATTGCAGTCACGTGGGTTTCAAGTCTAAGAAAGGGCCACTTAAACCTGAAGCCCAAGGCTTAGGGACTCACATAAAGAGGTACTTCGCTGCAGCTCAGCTCCATGGCTTCCGCATCTGCAAACAAGAAGAAGAGCATTTATTGCAGGAGTCCCCATGTGACCAGCCATCAGAGCTGTGTCCTGCCTTTTAGTCACCAACACTGCTCAGGGAGGAGGAGTAACTCATCAGACAGGAACATTGCAGAGACCAAACTGTAACAGAATACAGAAATGAGATGCTGTATAATGAGATGTTTACCTGTATAAAATATCCCCCCTTTCTTATTTCATGTTAATTTCCACGCACATGGAAAACTGGTCACCCTGGACAACCCACTGACTGCTCCCAAAATAAAAACTGTATTTCAGAAAGGCGAGAAAAGTCAGCACAAGCATGTTGAAAGTTTCATCTTAGTTACTTGCTTGGGGCAGTCTTCTCCCAGATCAGAACCCACTTTGGCTGAACCGGGCCGGAACCAAGGATGACAAGATCATTCTGTTGTGGATCTTAGGCAGGGCTAGACCTTTCGGTCTGGGTCATGCCCACCAACTTCCTCACAGCTGCATGCATCTCCTGTGCCTCTGGGTGTGCCTGGCCCTGCTACACCCACACCCCAAAACCAGCTTCCAGCTTCGGAACAAAGGAGCCAGTAGCACTAGAAAGGGATCCATTGAAAGTTGTCAAATAGGTACAAACTTCCAGTTATAAAATAAGTTATAAGGATGCAATGTACAACATAATGACTACGGTTGATAATATCATATTGCATATTTTCAAGTTGCTAAGAAAAGAGTTTATAAAAGTTCTTACAAAAAAAATTCTGCCACTAGGTATGGTGGCATAAGTCAACTAGCCTTATTGTGGTGATCATGTTGTGACATATACACAGATCAAATCGTTATGTTGTATGCCTGAAACTAGTAAGATGTTGTATGGCAATTACACCTCAGTAAAAAACTGGGGAGGAAGGTCCGCTGCACACCACAATGAGGCCCAGCCCTCAAGGGGCTCAGAGCTGAACAAAAGAAACCTACAGACTGGGAGCGAGCAAAGAGTGGGCCTGCAGGAGAATACTGAATGGGGCAGACGGGGACACGCACCGCCACCCCCTTCCCTGCCCCACAGAGAACAGAAGGGGGACCGATGAGCCTGGCTCTGGTTCCTGGGCCACAGCCCAGTGACGGTAGTCCGGGGCCATCCCTTCAGAAGGCAGGCACACAGCAATGAGAACTGTGATAGTCAGTATGGTGATCCCCAGAGGACAAATTGGCCCGGAGGAAAATGTAAAAAGTCCTGTATTTCTTTTTTATAAAGTCTTTTAACTTGTTTTATTAATAATTTACATAAAAGCTGGCACTGGCACCCTACTGGGTCACAAGCTACATTTCATCAATCACCCTGAGAGAAGACAGAGGGTCCCGCAAGCCCAAGGGGCAGACATCGGAGCACCTCCTTGGCCCTCCTCTCCAACACGCTGTGCGCTGTGCGTGCCCACTTAAATGGGCTCATGGGTTATAAGCATCAATGTTTACTGAATCTAACCTCGCGTATTAGATGAATGGCTTAAGAAGTCTAGGAAAGAAACTTCAAATTGAAGATAACACTAACAAGAATATGACAAAACCGAGACTCCCATTTCTAATATTAATTGCTTATCACTATGAAATAAAAATAAAGACTAATCCAAGAGCAATGACAAGTAGATTCCCTGAAAATTAGATTATTAAGAAGGCACTTAACATATGAATGTATACCCACTAGCAGATGCCGCGATTCCGTACTCTAAATGCTCACTGTGTCCCAAGACATTATCAATATTTTCACTTACATTTATAGTCACACTGTAAACAATTCCGAATCTTTACATTTCACTGAACTTGATAAAATTATAAAATCATTCAACATTTCTACTTCCTAGCATAAGAAATGCATTCGATAGTAAATGCAGTCATTTTTTTAAAAGACTGAAACAGTGTACCAAAAATAACAAAGCAACAAACTAAAGGGCATTCCTTTGTGAACAAAACTGTAAAGACTTGAAATTTTTAAGAAGTACATTAAAACAAGTTCAGCAGTGAAGGGGGCTTACCATACATTTATTTATATGATACTACAGATGTTTTCTATAACTAAGCATGTGATATTTGTTACATTTTGTCTGATAATAAAGTATATCAAAAAGAAACCACTTTTGATGAAAATGTGAAGATGTATTCTGAAGAGTAAAACCCCTGGCAACATTTCCTAGTTGAGTTGTGGAGAAAATACTTTGGAGCGATTTATATATACTTGATAAAACAAACTTCCAGCTGAAAGATATATTCTCATTTGGATTTCCCCAAAATTAACTCCTCTTTTACAGTAAAGAGCACTAAGTTCTGGGCTCACCTGCAGAGCTGTGTGGCTAAACCATTCTGTGCCTCCCTTTAAAACAACTTTAGTAATTAAACCAGTTGTATTTGTGAGGCAAGTTACAACTGCCTGGATTCTTCACACTCCAGCTTTTCCCTATATAAATGTCATGTTCTACACTGCATTTTGTTTCTGCTTGAGTTCTCTAACTATAATTTCAAATTTTCAGATTCTAGTTCTTTTTGGGGGTTTTTTTTGCCTTAATCACTGCCTTTTCCAAAAATGTTTCTTAGGGAGGTAAAAGTCTAAATATTTCCAGTCTTACAGGCAGACATCAGGGAATAGTTTGGGGTATTACTACGCAGCCACCATTTTTAAGTTTGCTCCAAAAAGGGAGAAGAATCTTATGAAAAGAACATCAAGATACCATGTTTTAGACATTATGAGGACTAAATATCCCAATATCTTTGATTGCCAGTTAACTCAAAAGAAAAACAGACAATTTTCAATAGGTAAAGAAATTTTAAGTTAAAGAAGAAAAAAATCTAACATTCAAATTATACAGAAAAAAAATCAGTTCTTGACTTTATGAAATTCTGGGTTTCTTAAGTTTTGCATCTAAATGATATATTCACAGACTGATTCGATATAAAACCCATGACTTAAATGTTGTCTTGGAACACACAATATTCATTAGGTTGTATGACTTTTACAAAACTTATTAACAGCTAATGCTCAAAGAGTATTTATCAAGACTATTAGTAACTAGGAGTTCCAGCCAAGATAAAGGCGCAGGTAGAAGCCCTTCGCTTCCTCACACAACCGAAAGGAGGATAACAACCAATCTAAAATCAATAAACAACCAAAAGCACCAGAAAATCAAACTGCAGGGAACTCCAACAACCAAGGAATTAAAGAAAAAATCAACCAGAACTGCCAGACTGGTGTACCAAGACAAAGAAATATGGCCCGAATGAAAGAACACAACAAAATCTCAGAACTAAGCGATGAGGAGATTGCCAACCTATTTGATGGAGAATGTAAAGCCCTCATAATCAAAATGCTCACAGACCTGATTGAACTTGGTCAAAAAATGAAAGAACAAATTAAAGACACCCAAAATGAAATAAAGCAAAATATTCAGGGAAACAGCAGTGACAAGAAATTGTTGCTCAGGATTCAGAGCAACAATTTGGAACAAAAGGAAGAAATAAACATCCAACTGGATAAGAACAAAGAAACAAGAATCCAAAAAAATGAAGAGAGGCTAAGGATTCTTTGAGACAACCTGAAACACTCCAATATCCAAATTATAGGGGTGCCAGAAGGAGAAGAGCAACAGCAAGAAATTGAAAACCAGATACATTGTATTTGATTTTATAGAGCTGAATATTCTCCCTACAGTTTGAAAATTCAAAGGACAGACCAATTACTATTGGGACAACTCTACTGCCACCTCAGTTTGAAACCTCTGCACTTAGAGGAAATGTTGATTCATAGCGCCACACACAAACCTGGGAGTGTAGAACTGTAACTGTATTTCACAACTGTTATACTAATTGGAGAAGGAGGAAGAAACAACGAAACAACTGGGAGGTAAGGCCGAGTCTAAGTAAAAACCTTCAATGCTAACACAATGGCAATGGGTGAGGAGAGAGCATTTTAGAAATGAACCTACTGTTGAATATATACAACAGTGTCTCCAGACCTGCTTCAGAATAGAGTTATCTACCTGAGTCCCTCAGGGCCAAGCCGCATTATTTGGTGAACTCAGAGTGTGGAGAGATGTCTGAAGATTAGAAAGGAAAAGGCAGTAACCACTCAATAGGGTCTCATTAATTCAAACTACAGGGGGTGGTAGGGAGGCAGAAGGGGAGCCAGTCAGCCTGAAATGGTGCAGCCTCAGTCAGAGAATGTTTATACAGCACAAAGAGGAGCGTGAACTAACTGCTAACAAAATGTTCTGCCAAAGCTGTCACACTCACTTTTTCACAGAATGTATTTGCACGCAAACTGATTAAGCCTTAAGAAGCTTTTTATAAATCAACTGAACATCCCCCTGTATAATCTCATTCATGCTATCAATCCATTTAGTGTATCCTTCATAGACAACACGAATCTCAAGATACAGCCTATCAAAGCATCAGTTTCCTCAGGAGCAGTAAGTTTCTAAAGGCCTGTGTCCAAAAGTCAGCTCCCTGTTGCTGTGTGCCTGTCGTGGGAGGGATATTAACACACAAAACACTGCCCACCATTGATGAGCTCCAGTCTGGTTGGGGTGACATCTATATCTGTGAAAAGATAAAGGTTCTAATGATACCACTGACCTGGCATGAAGTGAAAAACGAGCTGTATAATAGGAATTTTGAAGGAAAACATGGACATGTACTATTTTTAGGAAACACTGAAGGGCCTGATAGTTTGGAGTAACAGGTTTGGAAACACAAGGGAGCAAAGGTCATTGACCTCCTACTTTTATACATACTGCACCCCTAAAATACACACAATAATCTGGGATAAAAGTGCACAATGGATTTACAGGTGCCCAAAGTCCTTTGTCAGACACTTGGCAATAACATTCCTAATTGCAGTTGACCCTCAAGCAATGTGAGGGTTGGGGCAGTGACCTTCTGCACAGTCAAAATTTCATGTATAAATTTTGGCTCCCCAAAAACTTAACTAAAAGCCTACTGTTGACCTGAAGCCTTACCAATCAGAGTCAA